TCAATTTAAGAATATGGTCTTGAAAAAAAATAGGAACAAAACGGTATTAAAGTAAGAAATTCGGTCTTAGATTTTTTCGGTCTATTTTTTCTGGGTGTGTCCTTAAAGTAATTCTTTTTGGAGTTAAACTCAACACATCAGCTTTAATTATAATTATGTTTCAACTGGATTCCTACGTCCATAGAAATTTTGAGAAATACGTAATAAAAAGAAGTACATATCGATATAAATTAGTGCATTAAGGGCCGCTTTGTCGTCTGCCTGTAAAATTTAACTCATACTTCATTTTACTTTACCGCTTTTTGGTTTGGGTGGCTGCAGCTGTAAAAGCAATGTTTTAAGTTATCCATCCTGGCGTAGACTCATTTCCATGACTCATTCTAAGTGCGTTTTTCCAACTTTTCCGATCATATGTTTCGCCAAGTGTTTGATTTAAAGGGAAGTGCAACTTCCACAGGGCGGAGTGGGTGTGGGGAAGTGCTTCTTTCTACACGTACGCACATTTCGCAAACTACACTAAATTAAGGTGACTCCGTCCGATTCTTCTGTTCCCACACTGTAAGCCCCCTTTCGCCTTATGAGCCCCTCGCTTTTGCTCCCCTTCTCGGCCACGTTCACTCTCTGTTTAAAGTGTTGGCCCAGCTAAGCCAAAAAACTAACTTACACCTAACTAAATGACAAAGTTTTGCTGGAGCAGCCCAAAAGCACACACACATATGGAATTGGGCTGGGGGGTGTAAAGAGGGTGAAGGAAGGTAAAAGGGTGGTTAGAAGGGGGCTGAGAGAGGCGAAGAGTTGGTTATACTGCGGACCGGTAATATAAGGTAAACATTTCTTTCTATGCATATGCGAGCAGCTTGAACAAGGGCCGCTATGTACGTGTGTGAGGTTGTGTGGGTGTGCTACCACATGGACGGCAAAGGGCACGCGCTTTCCCCACTCACACACACGCGAAAATATGAAACAGGGAAAAAATCCAAATACTTGTTCTGTGAAATGTAGTCTATACACAATCATAAAATCATAGCAACAATAAAAGAAAATATTGTTTTTGTTAGTTTTCGTCACATATTTTTGTTTGTTTTGTTTTTTAACATGCCGACTTTAAGGAAACATACATATCTCATATAATCCAACAACAACTTGAATATATTTTACTATTTTTTAAATTAATACCACAAGTAACTTTGGTATTTTCTTCATTTTTTGCGGTGTAAGAACCTAATATCTTCCGAATACATGTTTAAAGTATTTTTATTATTATTATTATTCTAAAACCTTAAAACAGATTTTATCATGATTGGTGGCTTTGAACTAGCCAAATTCGCGGTCCGGAACTTTTTCAAAAGACAAATGGGCCCTGCTTTAACCCCATTTTGGATTTAATATATTACTTATTATTTTGACCAGACCAAAACCGACTTTTCAGCACAAATGTATGCTAAGCATTAAATAGACAGGGTCTCCCCACATTTATTGCCTATTAAAATATTTCAGAACACAAAAACCTTTCAAACTAAAAAGCTTTGGGAGGCTTTCCCTCAACAACTAGCGAGAAATACTTATTATTTCGACCAGTAGAGTGTATTCAGATATTTTTAAAAATACTAGAAAAAATTTAAATTTTACCTGCTCCTGAAAAAAAAGAAAAAATACAAAGACACATTGAAGTTACCTGTAGAAAAAAGACAAAAGCTTCTCGTTCAGTGTAAGGTTTGTTGAAATACTGAATCTTGGGGGTTCTCCCCCATTTTTTCTGGTGGCTACTACTTTTGCCACTACTTTAACCGCATAAACGAATGCTCAGAGCGGGAGTGCCCGTGTATGAGTGCATTGCATCTGTGTGTGTAAAGGGGGCGTAGCTGGCCGCCCACGGACGTGGCAGCTACTGTTGCCACTGTTACTGTTGCTGTTGCTGTTGCCATTTCTGCTGCTTGTTTGGTGTCAGCTAACCGGATAGCCATGTTTTGGTTTTTAGTTATTTGCGCGACACACACACCCACAGACACAAGAAGATGCGCCTGTGTTTTAACAGGCTTTTTTACACATTTACAAGTTGCCACTTTATATTGCATAATATTACCAAGTCTCCACATATGCCACCTGACTTTTTAGAGACCTCCTTTCCCCATTTCAGTTTTTTGGTACCCGTTACTCGTAGAGTAAAGCGGTATATTCGTTGAAAAGTGTGCAAGGAACAGGTGGAATATTCTTGTTTAAGATCACTAGCCAAGTCGATCTAGCCATATGTATGTCCGTCCATATGAACGTCGATATCTTGGTTCTTTATTGTTCACTTGTTTATTTTTGCTCACTTGCCCATTTTTGTTCACTTGCTCAGTTTTGCTTTCTAATTTGATCCTTTTAGTACACTTGCTCAGTTGCTCTCTTGCTGTTTTTGGCTCATAGATACTGCATATCACTACACACAAAAAAAAGCACGTCGCCGTAAAATGGATAAGTCCAGGTAATTTTCAGGTAATTCATACTCATATCCATTCTACCTGAAATATTCATAAAATTTACATTAAATAATATCATTTTGCCGAATTCTCTCTCTCGGAGATTCTCTAACTTCGAAAAAGAGCGCAGGAATCAATATGGCGAGCAAAATGAATGACATGAGTGGAAGCGAGAAAGACGTATTCGAAATTCGAACTGATGTACTTCATTACCGAAACATCGTTCTTAATTTTTCGATCATATCACATTTACCTGGCCCCATATCAAGTTAAGGGGTTATATACCTTTTTTTTTTTTCAAAAAAACGAAATTTTTTTTTTTGCTGAATCCTAAAGTATATCCCCTAGAGAACATCTTCCCAAATTTTCATACAGATCCGAATAATAGTTCGATAGGAAAACAGCGTTTTGACGCGCTCGACTTCAATAGTTGCAACGTCAACGTAAAACTTTGAATGCGATTATCTCAAAGTCGTGTTTTTCCAAAAGTGCTTTCGCTGTGACCACGATTGCGCAAGAACTATTCGATCGATCTTCTTCAATTTTTTTTTAAATTATTCGTAATGATTGTGCCGAGTTCGTGAACGATTCAGTTTTTATGCGCCAATTTTAATTTCGCAGATCACAATTTTTTAATAAAATTTTTAGAACTCGAAAAATCAACTTTTTGGAAAAATTGTTACTGTATGCTGAAAAAAGCAAATATTCTTAAAAATAATCGTTCACGAACTGGATATAATACTATACTAACTAAAATTTTTTGGTTTTTTGATATAAGTTGACCTGCTGGACTTCCATCGTGGTCACCGCAAGCCGCTATAAAAAAAAGGGTTCCGAAAGAATTGCCATAACTTCGTAAATTTTTCATATTTTTTCAAGAACAAAGGTTTGTTGTTTCGATAAAAACATGTACTATCAATAAATAATAACTTCACTGTCATAAAATAATTGCTACACACCAAAAAAAAATCCAAAGTTCCCTCAATTTTTTCGCTCAAAAAAGGTATATAACCCCTTAAAAAGGATATTATAAAAATAATTATATTATATTATAATTGACCTACGATTCCTATCCATTTTTTTTTGTGTGTACTAGTTCAACTGAATGGTAGAAAGATAGAAAGACTGCAATGATGTGTCCAAAAGTATTTCATACCCTGAACTCCAGGCTGTTGTTTTGATAGGAATTCGAACATGTTTATAAAATAATAAGAGGATTGGCAAAAACAACGATGCAAATTTAAGCATTGATACCTTCATAGCAAGAAAAATGTGTCTGTGCTAAAAGGAATATATAAAGGCTGAAAGAGAAATTGGTTATCAGAGTAATGGGTATCTGATAGTCGGGGTACTGGACCGCAGCGTTCCTCCTTGTTTTTTTTGTGTGTGTGTCAAGTAATTCAATAATTACGCTCTTGACATCATATTCGTGTGGCATTTTCCGGCTCTGTGTCTGTGTGCGTAAGCGGCTTGAGAGTTGTGGCTGGAAAAGTCACACGCCGCTTAACAATTAACCCACCGCCTTTTGTAACGCCCACTTTACAAATATACACCCGACACACAGGCACGTGACATTGTGGTTGAGCTGCAAAAAAAGAAGGTGAAAGAAAGCAAATGAAAGTAAAGGGAAAGTGCGGCAATTCATATTTGTCACTTTGCCACAGTTACGCAATTTACGTAGCAATTAAATTGGGCTTTCAACTTTGGGCCAGTGGCTGAGGATTTTAGGTAAGCATATTTACAAATATATTTGTACACACAAAAAAAAGCACGTCGCCGTAAAATGGATAAGTCCAGGTAATTTTCAGGTAATTCATACTCATATCCATTCTACCTGAAATATTCATAAAATTTACATTAAATAGTATCATTTTGCCGAATTCTCTCTCTCGGAGATTCTCTAACTTCGAAAAAGAGCGCAGGAATCAATATGGCGAGCAAAATGACATGAGTGGAAGCGAGAAAGACGTAATCGAAATTCGAACTGACGTACTTCAAAAGCATGTTTTCTCGCTTTTACCTGGCCCCATATCAAGTTAAAAAGGATATTAAAAAAGGTCAAATTGGCCTACGATTCCTATCCATTTTTTTTGTCTATAGACATACGGGACTAGAAACGTAAGAGTACAAAGTTTTATTTTTTAAAGTTTTTTTTTCTCCAAAAACGGGGACAAATAAGGGGAAAACATAAAGGATAATGTATTAGGCTTTTTTATCAAAATTTGACCACAAAATCAGTACTTCCTCAAATTGAGAATACAAATGCTTAATCTGAGAACGCCAGTCTTCTTGAAAAATTCTCTCTGTGTAGGAAGAAATAAAAAATATTTTCAAAAACTTGTGATAAGAAACAACAAGCCGCAAGAAGCTTTAATATTTTCCTGGTCCCAAGGATTTACCTACCTATTTTTCCACTCGTCATTACGATTTTCTGTTTGATGTTTTATAATAGTTTCTAGTTCTTTTTATTTTCAACAGGCGCCAGGGATTGTTGCTTGCTAAGGCGTACTGATGCAAATCATTGAAAATCTAAAGCTGTTTAGAAAAATATTCATTTTATTCATACAAAAAATGTGATTTTTTACAAACATTTTGTCGCTTACAAACTAAGAACAATTTGACACGATTTCGCTTAAGAACTACTAGAGAAGTACACTGTGAAGCACACAGCACTACAGGAAAAACGAAGAACAAACTAAGAGTTATTTATAAAAAGGCAGCAGCTCATTATTGCATCACGATGACTGGCACATGTGTGAGAAATTAGTGAGAGTTCAATATAGAGAAAAACAAATTCAACAACAATAAGAGACATGACACAAAAAAAAAAAACATGAAAGAAGACTATAGTCGAGTGTCTCGACTATCTTATACTCGTTAATCAATTTCAATGACGTTAAGTGTAATTCTATTGGCTTGGTAAAAGGAAACTAAAAGGTTGTAAGCCCGACAATCATCATATTTAATATCCTGGCATTTATAGTTCCCGAGATCTCATCGTTCAAACGGACAGACGGACAAGGCTAGTGAGCCTGTTTAAAAATAGAAAGGCTTCATAATTTTAATTTTTTACTTTTCAACGAATATAATACACTCTTTTACTTTACGAGTAAGAGAGATGAAAAGGAAAAAAAGGAGTGAAAAGGTAGGATCTTCTCTAATTGGTAGATTCGCTGGAACTATCTGTGCCTCCGTTGAAGATATAGTTATCCCGACCAGCGATTCCCGTACCGCCGGCGTCGCCCAGCCAGGGATACACATTGGGGCATTCCCGGCAGGTCTCCATATAGCGCGTATCCGTCACGTTCTGTTCGGGGATCTTGAAGGGCAGCGCACACGTTTGCCAGATGTTGCAGGGCTTCGGGGCCACCGCTACGCTCTTGTCGCATTTCCACGCCTCGATTTGGCTAATGTCGCGCAGCTCCTTGGGATCGGTCATGTACTGCAGCATCTGGGTGACGGTTAGGATGTAGACGTCAGGTCTGCGGAACCAAAGGATAAAAATTGGTTATCGATCTTTTCCGTCTCTCTTTTGTAATCTTTAGTCTAAAAATGTCTTCAAATAGTTTTAGGAAACCCAAAAAGCATTTGTATTATATTTTTTTAGGTTTCTCTTTAAGTTAAGCATTAAGAAAAATAAGTAAAACAAGAGAGAACGCTATAGTCGGGTTGGTGTCCCGACTATCTAATACCCGTCACTCAGCTAATGGGAGTGCAAACGCTGTACTCGGGTTGGTGTCCCGACTATCTAATAATCGTAACTCAGCTAAAGGGAGTGCGAGGGAGATAGATATAAAAACAATTTTGATTGCGTACAACTTTTTAATGAATGGTCCGATTTGAAAAATCTTCTACATTTCGATAGGTATATTTATACACAACAAAATTGCATTTATACTTTCCGGAAATCTTTAAAGATGTGGGCGCAGGACACATTTTAAAATCGTTAGTGGGCGATTGTGGGCGTCAGAGGGGGCGTGGCGCTCGACTGAAATAAACTTGCGCTGCGTAGGAAGCCCATGAATATGTGTGGGAAATCTCAACCTTCTAGCTTTTGTAGTTTCCGAGATCTCAGCGTTCATACAGACGGACAGACAGACGGACATGCGGACATGGCGAGATCGACTGGGCTAGTGACCCTGATCAAGAATATATGTACTTTGTGGAGTCGGAAACGCTTCCTTCTAGCTGTTACATACTTTTGCCCGAATACAATATACCCTTTTACTCTACGAGTAACGGGTATAATTACAAATAATTGAAAGGGAATGTTTTATAAACCTTAAGTAAACACAAATTTATATGGAGCGTTATACTGTTTTGAAAAACTACGGTATTTAAAAAAATCTTTTTTTTTGCGAACATAACTTTACAGAATACATATAGAATATACCTTAATCTTTTTCACATACGTTCATTACAACGTCAGGTGCACTGTACAATATACGTTATACACCTTTAGGCCAAAACAAAAGAGTAATGATGATGGCCCGCTGTGGGCGTGGCAAATGGTGGCGGGAATGAGGGCCTAAGCAAGTTGATGCAAAAGAAAACTTTACGGCATTCTTTTGCGCTGCTCGGCAGAGTGGTGCGCATTTTCAGGCATCTCATGCAAACAGTACATTCCGCCCACCGTTCTGGGCTCTGCACTTCTACACTCCCCCATTATCCATTTCCCGCTTTTCCACTTTTCCATTTCCCGTGAAGCCAAAGCTTCAGCTGCAGATCCAGCTTCAGGTTCAGTTTGAGCCTGGTCCGAACGGCAACGCAATGTTGAAAGTCATTCACACTAATTAAAAACTTCGTACAATTGTGCGAGAAATAGTTTCGCAGCAGCTGCTCTTCAGTTTTCCCCTCGCTTATCCCCTTTCTATCCACCGAATGGGTCAGATCTTTATAGTTTTTAACTCCTCTCTCTCAGTTTGCCGTAAACTAATGCATGAGGTGTGAAACAGGTGAGCGGAAAAGGTGGGCGGATGGGCCAAGATATGTGCCGGCTTTTTGTGGAAAATTAAGTTGAAATTTCTTCAGTTTCGAAAAAGGCAACACTTAAAAGTTTCAGTTTCGTTGCTGCCCTAAAATGCATTTGCCAATGGCTTTCATTAAAGGGTTAACACTAAAATCTATCGTAATTCTGTACATTTAACGTGGATTGGATTGCTGAGAAACATTTAATGGAAACGCGTCAAGGGTCTCAAAAATAAATTGGACTTTCTACCAACACTCACGCCCCCGAGTAATTGTTTATAAACCACAATTTTGTTATAAGGGGTTCCACAGAAACTGCAGTTTTTGAAATCCCTTTTAAATGCCAAAATATGTGTCCAAAAGTATGCAACAATATATTTTTTATCCAAAAGTGATATGAGTTCGTACAGGAAATTGACTATCCTTCATTCATTGCATACTTTATGAGACATTTTATGACATTTGTAAGAGATTTTAAAAAACCTAGCTATTTCTGTGGCACCCCAACATACATATCTTAACATTTAATATCCTAAAATCAAAAACCAAAATATATTTAGAAACCTTTACAATTTAGTGATTTTTTCGGGTTACATTTCGGTTTGTTATACCCTTGCAGAGGGTATTATGATTTCAGTCAGAAGTTTGCACCGCAGTGAAGTAGACGTTTCCGACCCCATAAAGTATATATATTCTTGATCAGCATCACTAGACGAGTCGATCTAGCCATGTCTGTCTGTCCGTTTCTACGCAAACTAGTCTCTCAGTTTTGAAGCTATCGGCTTGAAACTTTCCCAAAAGTCTTATTTCTATTGCCGGAATCTATAAGTCGGAAACGACCGGATCGAACAACTATATCTTATGGCTCCCATAGGAAAAATCGAAAAAAAAAATGCTAGCTTCGGTGTTTTTAAAATATTACCTTCTACTCTTGGATATATTTTTTTTAAATATTTCTGAATTTCTAATAAAATATTTAAAAATTCGGACGGCTATATCATATAGCTCCCATAGGAACGATCGGAATATCAATGGGAAAGTAATAGGAAATAAATTTTAGCTTCTTTGGTTTTTATTGTATTCTCTTCTACTCTAGGACTCTTTTTAAATATTTCCGAATTTTAATTTTAATATCCATTTTAAAAATACAGTCCGAGAGGCGCCACGAATAAAAGTTCTACAAACATTCAAATGAGCTTAAGTTTACCTAAATCAACTTAGCCCATCCAATATAACAACTTGCCAGCCGACCTGGCCCCACCTTTTTCCACGACTTGTTTTAATGGCCAGAAGACGTTTATCCTGAGATATCCAAGATGTAACCTGCTCCGCACAAACAAAGATGGCAGATAACATGGCCAAAACAAACACTCGCAGACTCCCTTGAGTGATGCCGATGACAAAGTGCGATTCTATCAGCATAACTTCATTAGGCAAGTTTTGTGCCACTTTCGCTCTTCTCCTCGTATGGCCAGTGTGCTCTCTATTGGCAGCTTGCATTATCTGACTTGTGTTGTTTTTGCGCGCTTTATCAGTGCTTTTTAGTTGGCCACAACCCCTAATACCGCTGTCCTGTTTTGGCTTTTTGTTTTCCTACTGCCAGACCTTCGCTCTTCCCCTTTCCTTCCTTGGCCTGCGCCTGCACTGATATTTTTCAAAATGAAACTTTAACAAAATTAAACTTTTCTCATTAAAACGTGCGATTTTTTCTCTTCTTATCCTTATCCAAGCTACTGCTCTTATTCCTGCTGATGATTTTTTTAAACGCTGACCGCAGCGTCGCCATTGTGAGCTGGCCGAAAGGGCGACGGAAAGGGAGAAAGTAGCCGGGCGAAAGTGGGAGAAAGCTGGGCCAGAGATTCCGCCGAGAGTTGTGCATATGGTTGAGTGACTGCCAGCAGGATTGGCAGCATGCACAGCACAAAAATGGCTGAAGGAAGTATTCGCTTGAGAGCTAAATGCATTGAGGGTTTCGAAATAGCTTTTATAGGTGCCGAAAAGTGTGCTACAAAATAGTATGAAGTACGAAGACAGACGAAGTCACTGCGGATTTATTAGACATCAAATTAAGTATATGAAGAAATAAATTAAGAAATCACAAGAAATACTTTTGAATTTTTTGTTGCCAGTTTTAAAGGAATAAACTGTTTTGAACTTTTGACTTTAATTGCTGTTTGAAATTCCTTTAAATATACATGTTTTTTTTTTGGACACTCTTTTGCGAGGAGCCACTGGGAATTACAATTTCATTAATTATTTTTTATATATGATAATTATATTTTAGTTGTTTGTAATACTATACAATTTTCTTCGGTGTATTTTTTTAACAGGGGTGTTGTTTGCGGGTGCTTTTGGGGGATCGGGGACTACAGCTCAACCTGTCGACGGACGGGCAACATGTGCCGCCGCTTCTACATACAAGCAATTTTTATAGCAATTGCCAATTTTGCTGCTGCTGCTCCTTCCTGCCTTTGCTTTCTCCGGCCCACTTTCTCCCGCTTCTTTTTATTCCGACTCCCAGGCTCTCATCTCGCTCATCTCTCTTGGCTTTTTTTAATTGAATATAAAACTTGCCAGCGGCAATCGGAAGTGCACTGCAGGAAACGCCTGCTGCCCATGTGTGAGAGTGTGAGAATAGAACGAGACAGCATGAGGGAGAGAGCCTGTTCCAAAGTTGGCTTTCAATTATAAAAACACCAACAACAAAAATATACTATGTGTGCTATGTATAAAGCCAAAAACAGAAAAGGCTGAAAAAAAAAATTTATGAAAAATTGAGAACAGTGTGTGTGCATATGGCAGAATTGGTTAAAACGCTCCATACAAAAATCCCTAACGAAATCAAAATAAAAATATTAGAAAAATAGAGTCAAAAAAGAATGTCTACCAAAAAAAATATATATAAAATCAAACATTTTACGGCTGGGAAACGCAGCTTGAGAACGGACTACTCTTGTTTTCTAAACTTGTTTCATATAACATTAAGAATGGAAGCTTCGTTTGTATGTATATGTACGTAAGTTTTTTCAAAATTTTTAGGTGATTGTTAAAAAGTTTTTGGGGATTATGTTTTTTTGGGTGTTTCAGAGCTATAAAATTTCTTTGCCCTTTTTTTTTGTAATTTTTGAAAGCCGTGAATAAATTATTATTATTTTATGTTAATCGTGTTGTCTTCTATTGTTATTATTTTACATAACTTTCGAATACCTATTGGTCAATATTAATACACTATTGGCGGTAAACTTTTCAGGTAAAAACCATATAATAGGACGCATATACTTACAGTTCGAGGGCCCAGTCGAGGAACTTGTGCAGTCCGTTCTCCAGTGGCTTTGTCTGGAACCAGTTGGTGTGGAAGGGCATCATGTAGGGCGCCTTGTTCTGTTCGTAGTAGCGCGAGAAGTCCTCCTGCAGCCACTGTAGCACCTCCTCCTCGTCGAGGTTGTGCAGGACGCACTGGTCCAGGTAGGGACAGTGACCACCCTCGTATCCCTCCACGTAATGGGTGTTAAGGGGCACCTCCCAAACGCCTGGGAAGGTGCGCGACGGACATGTGCCGCTCTTGCACTCGTGCGAGATCTTGTAATCAAGGGTGTACGGCCACACTGGTACGGCAACCGGTGGAACGGTGATCGAACTGTCATAGATGTACCCGAAGTCCTCCAGCACCTATTGGTAAGAATAATTCGATTTTTGAAATATATCAACTACTACATTATTTGAAGAAGGATGCAACCGACATAATTTCTATCAACAGAAACCTTCCACTAAAACAGAAGGTGGCCTTTATACATACATACATCGTGGTCTATCATAGTATAGACGTAAGCTCTAAGCTAGCTCTGTTCTTACCAGACCATTTGCTTATGTAAAACTAACTATATAGGTGATATTGGCAATTTGTATTGGAAATTTTTTAATTTCCCAAGAATAAACAGAAATTAGGACTTAAAAAACATTTGACTTTTGTGACAAGTAATATTTAATAAAAATTTTAAAATATCGCACGGTGCAAAATGAATATTTATTATTCTTTACTGGTTTAGTTTTTAAATTAATTGTTCAAATGACTTTAATTAATTTAAGCCTTGCCTTTTTTTAAACCATGGCACCATATTCATTGGAATCGAACCATCCATTCAATTATTAAAGTAAAATTGAATCGCTTAAACTTAATTCATTTTTTAATTTTTTTTGCCAGTGCTAAAATTAATGCATTACCAGAGCAACAGATGACGGACCTATCTAAATTATCCCATCGCCCCACACACGTATATGTGTGTAAACTTGTACATATATATGTGTATACAATACAACCTCGATGCGCTGTCATGTCGCACACACCCTTTCACTTGGTCCCATTATCTGCATAAAAAGATTTGCCATAGATATGATTTTAAATGCGTGAATGTGCCAACGAATCTGATCGAGATTTGGGGGTGGAATGGGGGATGGTTGGGTGTCGCATAATGGGGCTCTTGAACCGTTATGTACGTAGATGTGTTGTGACATTGATGTCATGTCATGTCATGTCATGTCAACCAGAAACTTTCGCCCGAGTCAAAGTGTGTGTGTGTTTGGGGAGTTTGAGGTTACGGTTAGGTTGTCATTGCCTCATTGGATTTCCCACCAAACTCAATTTCAATTTAAAGCCAATTCCACGTCAATTTAAATCAAAAACGATCTTTTTTTCCAGTCTCATGCGGGAAACAATGGATGGGGATAAAAGAACAATACATAAGGTTTTGATGAAAATCTAACTTATTTCATATCTAGCTAATTTCAAAATGTACATATGTATGTATTAGTCGAACTAACTAAATATATATGAAAAATTAACTTTACATAACTTTACATTTAGATGACCTTGTAAGAAGAATATGTGTATTAAATCTGTTCAATGATGTCCCAAATGATTAAATATTAAAAACAAGAGAGAACGCTATAGTCGGGTGCACCGACTATCAGATACCCGTTACTCAACTAAAGGGAGTGCGAAGGAGATGGAGATAAAAACTTTGATCCGCCGTAACTTTTTAACGAATGGTCCGATTTAAAAAATGTCTTCTACATTTCGATAGGTATTCATAAACACAATAAAACTGCATTTTTACTTTTCCGAAATATTGAAATTTTTAAAATCGTATATAAGCGATTGTGGGCGTTAGAGGGGGCGTGGCACCCTTTTGAAACAAACTTGCGCTGCGTAGGAACTCCTAGAATCTGCATGCAAAATGTCAATCTTCTAGCTTTTATAGTTTCCGAGATCTCAGAGTTCATACGGACGGACAGACGTACATGGCTATACCCTGATCAAGAATATATATACTTTATGGGGTCGGAAACGCTTCCTTCTAGCTGTTACATACTTTTGCACGAATACAATATACCCTTTCACTCTACGAGTAACGGGTATAACAATGGTAGTGTCACGACCAATTAACAAGCTTTGAAATCCGTTCACCTTAAAGTTGATTACCAATTGGGCTTAAATTAAACTTTAAGCTGAGAAGCAATCCCATTTGCCAGCGAATAAATTGAGTACGTTTGCCCATTCCGTTTGGCCGCGTTGACAGAAGCCGAAGCTGCAGCTTTAAATGAATCACTTTTCGATTTCCGATTCTGTTTTCGGATCTCTGGGGTGCTCCCCTTCTACCTCCACCTCCACCTCTCCCGATCTCTCTGGTTCTGGATTCAAGAAATCGCACTCGACAATTGCATGTCAATTGATGTTCTCATTGTTTGCATTTCTTTTGTGCAGAGCAGACCCTGCCACCCAGTGCCACCCCCCGTACTGCAACAACTACAACTCACCTTGTATTGGGTGTTGCGGCCAGGCTTGAGGAAGGGGGCTCGCATGCCGACCACATCGTTGACGGACACATTGGCGAAGTGTCGCAGGATTTCACGCATGCCAATCATCTCGCCCACCCACTCCTCGTAGCCCTTGTCCTGCAGCCCCTGCTGCTGCGAGATGCTCTCCGTTCCGATTTCGTGTCCATAGTATCCCAGGTGCTGGATCTGCTGGTAGTTGCTGCAATTTCGGATTGGGAGAAAATCTGGAGTCAGTACGGAAATTAATTGGCCATCATTGGGCTGTAATCAGAGGCCTTTGCGGCTTGTTTCTGTTTCTTTGAGGTTCTTATTAGAGCCCTGCGTGAATCATTCAAAGTAATTAAAAGGATATGGTACTGGATAGTAGCTGTTTTGGTGAAAAAATCAAATGAAAACACAACGAGGCTATTATTTGTGTCATCACGGGTTAGTTGGGTTTGTGTTTAATTTCAGAATCACTAAATAAACCATCCTAATTGCTGCTGGAAATTATGAAAAGTTTCCCATTTTATTTCTTACATTATAAACTCTGGAACAAGCAGTTCGAGTGGTCCTTTTATCTCCGACTACTGGCAAATCATTTTCACACTTGATGGCTTAACACAAAGAAGAGCACACCCACACATCTGGACAAGTGAAAATTCGAAACTAACTGACGAACATGAACATGGAATCTCTCACACTACTGGTTTTTGCCAATTAGAAGAATTTCCAAACAGCCAAACTAAATTGGAACGGGGGAGGAAATTTTTCGGAGTGGATGGGGAAAGATGCTTAAAAATAGATACAACTTAGGAGGTGTCAGGAAAAGTCTTCGAATCGAAAATGCTCTAGCAAAACACAAATTATTTTCTTCTTTACATTCGAAAATGTAATTCCAGTTTTGAGTTGATAATCGAAAAAAAATGGTGCTATCCTGAAATATAGTAAATATCTTTCGACTTTCAGTCCGAGAGCCATACAAAATTTTGTATATTCCGTTATGGTTATCGATAAAAAAGATCTCTATATATTTTGAATTTATCTTTCGTAAACCTTTTCCGAAAACGGAAGGTTTTTACAACCAAAATAGAAGAAAAAAGTGTGCACCACCAATTGCAAGAGTACCAAAATATACACATGTATGGGTGAAATTTATGTCTTCAAAGGGTGCCAAAAATGGGGTTTAAAAAGGGGGTTGGCAAGGCGAAGCTTGAGGATACTGCTAACGAATAATGCATAGTTTTCGGTGCTGCTTGCAAAGCACAAATAGTTACGAGAAGCTGGGAGCGGCGGACAAAAATAATATAAATAAAAATGAAATAAAATTATGAATGTATTCAGCTGTTTTTTTCATTGTCTTTCCATTTTCTGTTAGCTTTCATTTTTCCCTCTGTTAACTCGTTTCATGCAACAGCAGCAACAATCAGCAAGAATGTTGCACGAATGTATATATTTATTAAACATTTCACTCGCAGAGCCTTTCTCTCTCTGTGTGTGTGTCTGTAAATATTTTGCAATGAAATTACGCCCTAAAGTCAAACTTTTGGGCCAAACAGCCCGAACCAACCCCTTGTGCCCATTGAGAAACGAAAACGAGAAGTAAAAATCATAATGAATGCGATGAGTTTTTTGTTGTAGTTGTTGCTCGTGCACAAAAAAAAAATATAAAAAAGTAAAAAAATATGTTACAACGATGTTAGGAATAATACGTTTGTAACTTAAAGTGATTAGCCTTTTGCTCATTAGTTTAAATACATTTGTGCTGATTTAAATAATCATATTTAATGCTATATAAAATGTATTTTGTAATTTTTTTGTATCCTGACGCAATAAATAAAATATTATATTACGCAAATAAATAAAATATTGATAACCACTTTTTTTTTTATGATATTCTTGACCAATTTCTTCTTATGTAGTACTGATGACGCACTTGATGCACCGTGGGCGTTGCATCCACGCCCATTGCATAAGGGGGCCTGCATCTACACCTCCATTATTTCATCCTCCTACCGCCTCTTCCGCCCCTGAGCCCCTGCTGCACTTTCAAACAATAGCGCACGGGCACAAAACTATCTGACATCGTCAAAAAGTTCATGCAAAAATGTGGAAATGTGAAAAGTTGTTGAAAAGCCTGGGCCTCAGGATGTGTGAGTGTACGTGGGTGCATCCTTTGGTGCGTATGTGTGGGGTAGATTTATTGCATGACATTTCAATTGTTAGACAAACAGCTGGACGAAGAACTAGAAGCAAACCGGAGGGGTGACAGCACTTGAAGCCAAGGCCAAATGAGGAAAACGGAAAAAGATGTAAAAAACTCGAGCCCAGTGAGGGAAACGAATCCCGAAGAAAGTCAACGATTCCAACAAACAGTGTTGCCAGCAACGTGACACAAAGGATTGTCGATGGTCTCTGCGCCGAATGATTCGACAGATAGTATGACAAACGGGGCTCATTGTAAGAAAACCCTATTTACGGTCCAGAAATCTTTGTTTCACAATTTGTCAAATTTAATTTTAAAAGATACAACTTCAAGGTTCATTTTACTATTTCCAGTGTGACCAGCTCACAGTTTCAAACACTAGTTGTCACTGCATGCTGATAGATTTTTAGAGTGAAAATTAATTGTTGTTAAACGAAAACAATAAATAATAAAGCCAAATTTATTTCAATAAACATTACGCAATAGTTTGTGGAAAAAATCCATTCTCTGCGAGCATCTCATGGTAACCTTGGCACATCCAAAATTATCATCCAGCCTCCCTCAAAGAAGTGGTTACACTGGGGAACCGAAGGCCAAAACGGAGGTGCACGACGAAGTGGAGGTGACAAATGTCAGCAGCAATTAACAGAGCCACCGAGGCAAAGCAAAAATAGTCAAATGACGCTACAAAGAAAAACTGACAAACAAGGCTGAGTGGCTGGGCCGGGTGTGGGGTGGTCCTTTAGAGTGGACCAAGTCTGTGGTGGAAGTGCGTCACACTCAGTCACATTTGATGAATCTCCCTTTAGCCTTGTCGCGAGTGGCCGAAGACAAAGTGCAGCCATTGTTTATGCCACCCACTCACGCGGAAGGCTCACCGAAAAGCACCCAAGACCACCCACTCAATAGTGGTTCCTCCACAACTTTTATTGCCCGAACCCATTTAAAATATGCCCTCGCCTGTTAAATTTTCCAGCTACGAAGAACTGATATTCACCCTGCCCTCCCACCCTTTCCCCAAGCACTCTGCTCGAATTTTGCGTGTGCTAACAAGTTCAATTTGCATTTAAAAAGGCAGAAACACATGTAATCTGAACGATTAGAAATTGTAAGATTACACACACACATACTTGTGTGGGAGGGAGGCGGAAAAATCCCAGGAAAAGCCAAAAATAGGAGGAGAAAAATGTGTTTTTTCTTTAAATTGAATTGAGGGATTTGGCAGTTCGATTCAAATTAAAATAAATAATATACAGAAGGGAAAAAAGTGATTTGATTAAAAGATGTCTCAAAGAAATAAATAAAATACAAAAATTACTGATTCTCGGAATCCAAATTTAAAATGAAAAAACCTTTGTAAAAAGTATGTCGTTTTTAGTGCTAAAAGAATTGTTACCATTGTTCGTACTCAATGCCTCTTTTAAGAGCTTCTTTTGAGGCTGAGGGGATTTTTTGTAAATATCTTGAACCATTGGTCAAAATCAATCTTGGAACCAGTTATAATGCTAATCAAGGCCTGTACCTTACGATCTTTGTCAAAATACCCTTACAACCAAATCCTGGAACCGCCTCTGGTTATAAATAAGACTGATACATAAACTGAATTTTTATTGACACTTGCTTAATTGCCTTGTCATCTACGTTTGAAATAATTAAAAAAAATGTAGAGCCAAGTTTGTGGGAATGTCATATCTTAAAACTTTTAAACCCACCCAGCTGAATTTTTCGGCACACACGAACACGTATTTTTCTTCAATTTGTGCTCGTCTCAAAGTCAAGCAATTTCTTTTAATGTGCTTTTAAAAGCCAAATCTACAGGTTCCCTTGGCCATGGCTTTTTGGTCCATGGCAATTTTTTCATAGCAATGAGATTTCTGTTGTTTTTCCTACGCCCAGCACCAAAAACTAACTTCATTTGCATGGCGAACATATTGTGCATGTGTGAGAGGGTATCTGTGTGGGGTATGTGTGTGAAGTATCAGTGTGTGTGTGTCACTACCATGGCTAACGAGGTAGCCTGACTTCGGTAAAGGCATAAAAACAATAAGTTCCCCCCTTTCGCCACGATTTCAATAAAGCTCTTCGACAGCGCTCTACACACTCATAAAGAAAATTGCCAAGGAAAAAAGAGACCAAAAACAGAGAAAAGCCAAACAAGAACTAAGAAAAAGAAAGCAGAATGCAAAATGCAGAAAGGGAAAATCGGCAAAATGGGGGCGACTCTGTTCACATGGAAAAATTATGGCTGCCTTGCTGACTTCCCTTTCTCTTGTGCTTCTTCCGTGATCATCGTTATTATCAACACCAGTTAAGCAATAACAGTGGGAAAACCAGGGGAGAAAATGTGAAAGGCGTGTGGGTGGCTTTAGTGATTACAAGAGCGAACTAATAAAAACAGACAGCCAAACGCAGAGGGGAAAATGCAAACTAACACTCCGGCACATAAACATTCTCGAAATCCCTGAAAAGTATAACACAGGCCGCTCTAGAAATAAAATAATGCTTGGACCTAACTATATATTATATAATTCAGGTGTATTTAGAGCAGGTTTAAAACTAAGGTGCTTTTTTCCATAATAATATACAACAATACACTTTTATCTTTAGGTTATTGCTCTAAAATAAAATTTGAAAAAGAAGCCCATGATGTTTAATGGTAAATAACACTATTTTAAAAATGTTGTCTCCTTGTCGAGATCTTATTTGCTTAACGGCACGTTAAAAATTGTTAGAATAGGTTCAGTTTAGCAACACCAATTTTAAAAAAGAAGTTTCAAGTGTATTTCTTTTCGTATAAACTAGTGCAATTAATTTTGATTGAGTTAAAAGCTAAAGCTAAAAGGAGGAAATATAATTTTAAATTAGTGTACTTCAAATGACAACAAAAATGTCGCAAAGGAATATATCGAGGTACTACTGCACGTTGGTGGAAAAAGGAAAAAATCGGTAGAGTGGAGCAAGGTCTAGTGCACATGGAGTGCACTTTGCATATACACAAAGATGCAGATGTGCAT